GCCCGCCACCGCCTCATTGGCAACGGTTGGCACTGGGGCGTGGCTCGGCGGCTGTTGCTCCTGGTGCTGGTGGCCACCAGCTGGACACAGTCAGAGGCGGCGCCGGCGAGTCGACCGCGCACCTCGACGATCGATTGGGTGGCTTCACTTTGGCGACACGGCGGCCCGGTCATGGGACCTACACCGGCTCGACGCGACGGCCCCGACGCCCTGGAGCACCTCGACGAGGACCAGCACTGGCAACACTCGGCGACCATCCCGCACCCATTGCGGGCCACGCCATCCTGGAACCGGCGTGGGAGGAAGGCCTGGAGATCCGGCGCAGATGGAGGCACGACCTCGCTAGGATCCGGCGCGAGGTCGTCGACGAGGTCAAGCTCCTAATCGAGGAGAGGGCCGAGGAGACGGCGGCCTGGATAGGGGCGCGGGCCCATGCGGTTCGGGCCACCTACTCGACGCCGGACAAGCCGGCGGTCACACAAATCCCGGTGCTGCTAGAACTGCTGCGGCGCTTGAACTACCCGGACCTCCCGAACCTCACGGCGGACCTCACCGACGGCTTCGACATGATCGGCGCGCTGCGCCCAGGCCCAGGCTGGCGCAAGCGGACCGACGACCGCTACAAGTACCCGGCGTCCCTTGACACCCTCAGGCAGGTCAACGCCGACTATGTCCGGCGCAAGGTGGCCACGGCGAACACCACAAGCACACCGAGGCCCTGCTCAAGGAGCTCGTCGACGAAGCCAAACTTGGAAGGGTCATAGGGCCCGCCAGGCCACCGGCGTGGCTCAAGACCAACGCGTCGGCGCTGCCGTGGGCCCTCGGCGCCACAGAGCTTGTGGAGCCGCCGCCCGGCGAGGCCTTCCTAGCGGCGTCCTTCGCCATCATCCAGATCGATGAAAACGGCGAGATTAAGATTCGCCGCGGCGAAGATTGGCGGCGTTCTGGGCACAACACCACCATCTCGGCAGATGATGTCCCAACCCATCACTTCATCGGCGCATTCGTCGACCTGGCGCGGCGCATGGCCCCGGACGGCGTCATCCTGGTGTTTGGGCATGACCTTCTC